ACTGACATGGAAACTTCGACAAGCGCAACCAGCGATGCTACAGCCATCTGTTAGAAAACATTGCAGTTTTAGTGCAAGCATTTCAAGACACTGGATGGAGTTAGACTGCTGGTGTCACGAGTGGAGTTGAGTTGGACCGTTGGGCCACTTGTGGGGCCGATGTTTAGATCGGGTCAAATAACCAGACTTGTGACGAATTTCGCTCATTTCAATAGTACAAAAACGAGGGCAGACTGGTGTGCGGTTAGGCCAGCACACCAGTTTCGTGGATATCGGTAAACTAAGACCACAATGATATGAGTGTCAAATAGCCTTCAAGCTATGGATGCTGACCAGATAGCGCCGATGTGCTTGAGGATTCTGTCAAAGGCAATTGTGCATGCATCACAAAACACATGTCACCGCTTGGTGATGGAAACAACATGTGACTTTAATATTGTTACACCCATGGGGTAAGGTGATTGCATACAGAGAGATTTGCAGCATGTAAAGGTTAAAACTAGAGCAGTGGCGCTTGCCGCAACACCTGAGCCTCTGCAACCGCGGGTGCTGTATGAAACCTTTTATGCTATGCCTGAAAAACCAAGGCAACCGTCAACGTTAATTGCCGCGCGGCATACACAGCAAGCTGCGCGAGTCAGAGTCAAACAGCTCTGCACCATGACATTATGACATTGACAAGAGGCATCGAAGATGTGGTTCGACACGCTATTAAAACTGATGGCAGGTGAGCGTATCTTTTCGTTCAGTAGAGGGCAGCTTGAAACAGCGTCCCCCGCGTAAGCACGGCAGGCTCGCAGTGCGTTCGTATTAAAGGGAGTGTCACACACACACACACACCACACACCACACAAACACACACACACACACACACACACACCACACACACATATATATTAGATATATATATAATATAATATAATATATATATTATATAGTATATGTATATATATGTGTATATATATATATATATATATATATATTATATATATATATTATATATATACATAATTTATATCTACTTTAACTGGAATAGTTCTCTTGAAGTCCTTTTGGTGCTACTACGGCGGTTAAGGTCTAAGCACGGCAGATTGTGAGCAGCACCAAAAGGTCTTCCAGAGAGCTATTCAGTTTAAGTATATATCTGTATATATTATAGATATAATATATATATATATATATATATATATATATATATGTATGACTTATCTTCTTAAACTGAATAGCCCTTTGAAGACCTTTAAGACCTTAACCGTTCTAGTCTCTGAGATACACACCCGAGAAACTGGGGACAATATCAGAGAGTGTTTATTTCAAAGTTTCCGTGGCATTCATGACGTCATAATGGCGTCATTCAAATCCTGCCATTCCATAGCCTATGCGATGATCAAGGCCAATACAAATACAGTTCTTGAGGCGTTCATATCTGGCGTTAGCAAGGGCGACTTCCAGATATAACGGATAGACAGCGGCGAAAACAGCGCTCTCGACACAAGGGCAGCTGTCTGACACACTCGGGGAATAATAGTGGACGTTTTTCTTACATAATGTATGTGGGTACTTGCATTATGTTTTTTAGCACTGAAACACCTGCTTTGTCTTCTTTAGTTGCTTTTCCTAATTTCATCTTTCTTCTTCATCGTTTTTTCTATTGGTATCTCTTATCCAGCGAAACACTGCAGTTCAGAGAATGGAAGGATACGCCTCAGCTTCCTTGGCGAATGGCGAGATTTGGTTTAAAAATCTTCCGGGGCTCTACTTTACGCTCATGCACGCTCCAGGATGCTTCGGCATTACCACAAATAGAACACCACTTCAAGAACACAGATCGGCACCCGCAGCAGCGGCGTTGGTAAATCTACGCTCATTGCCAAATATCGTCCTGTGTTTCGAAATATGCGTAGTGCACGATCAACACAGAACATAGGATTTCGTGACATGGGGGCTTGCCATCTTTCGTAACCAATGCCGTCAGTGAGGCAACGACTGTTTAATGGTTACCGACTTTTGTGGGAACGTGCCCTGCTTTTAAAATTGGCTTCATTAAAAAAAGCTTGTGCGTAAAGTTCGATTTTCGGTCGCTGTATCGAGTCCGAGTCTGAGTTTATTTTTTGGTTCATGGTCAGAGGCGTCACTTCATATACTTTTGGGGGTGTCCCCGATGTTGACTTAAACACCCGTGGTACTATGAGCTTCCAATGCATACGGTCAAAATAAAGAAATCTGAGACCGAGGAGCCAATGCAAAAGATCTCTCAGCTGTTTGTACCGGTACCTGAGCGCACTGCCTTTAATGGCAAGCTCAATTTTGCATCATGTGGTATCATGTAGTCCTTTAGACATTGACCTCATTTGTCAACTATAAAAATTCACGGAAGTATGGTAACCGAGAAGCGATATGTATCGCTTGTCGTCGTGTCTATCATAATGTTCCAGGTGAATTTTACTGCGGAGGCGTCCTCGTTTGGTCGTTATGTGTGTGTCTGTATGCATTTACGTTTGAGAATCTGTCCCCTGGGTCAAAATGTCAGAAGACCGGAGACGTATGATGATGAACAAGTACATGACGACTAAACAAAACGCTATCTGGGTCAAAGGTCTCGGCTATTTTGTAAACCTGACAGCATTCCATTGGTTTCAACTCCTGTGTATACCGTTTTTAGTGGGATAATCCTGTGTGCTCATTTCAGCTCTGTCCAATAGTGCTAGTGTGAAAAGGGCTGACATAAACTAACGCTGCCATAATAAAAACACCGCCATGCGGCATTCGCCTCCCGCTAGGCCATGACCTTGGTCAAAATTTTACTGAAATATTTAACGCACAGAGAAGCACTTGTGAAAAGATGAACGGAATAAATGGCTATAGTGCGATATGACTAAGAGAAAAAACATGTTTAGGTTGGAAACGAATTTTTTGCACCACCAACCCCTTTTAAGCTGCTTTCAGCTCAAAATTAGGTAAGTCGTTCAGCGCATTTGCGAGGAACATTATTTACGTGACCTCTGTTCTAGATTCGACAAAGGCATGTTACCGAAATATCAGCCCATCTACATCTCCATTCTCCCCGGTTTTTCTCCGAGGAATAGGCTGTTCCTACTGTCTTATGTATGCTTTCAGCTAATTGAATTCACTCTTAAAAGAAGTCAAGTCTCTACGCCGTCGTTGAAAGTCCAATCGTGGTCCACCGCCGCCCCAGATTAAAAGGATATTACTAGCCGCAAGTACCAACAATGTTCGTTTTCGCCGAGTGTAAACTGGCTGAGAGCAGAAACACTCTTCTGTTCAAAGACATTCGCTTTTGTCTGCCTGGTAAGTGTCCTGCTTAGCACTTTGTAACTAGAAATTCCGCATCGGAAAATCATTCGCTCGCGGTTCTATAAAATGCTAACAATGGAGCCAAATGGACAATTAGAAATTGAAGAACGTCATAGCGCTTGGAATATAGCATGGGACGTACCACCGTGCCCGCTGTTGATGAGCTTCTATGTCACCGCAAAATACAGACCCTCAGCTGGACGCGCTGCCATCACCGGGGCAGGCCCACGCCGGCGTCACGTCGCTTCACCGGCGCCTGGTCAGCAAACACCGCCATCCCAAGGACAGCCCCGGCAGTGTGACGGGCCGCACGTGACGGGCTGGTCTGGCCCGGAGACCGTTTGTAATTAACATCCAGCAGTGTGGCGTTGCAACGGGGACACTCGCTGTTTGTAGCATCGAGCGCAACTTTGGTATGCCTTCCGGAGTAATGTTTACAAATTCATTTTGCTAGACACGACGGCAAACGATAGACATGGCTCCTGTATATCCCGGATTTCGTCCATTACATATTTGGCACCAAACTGGTTCTCTGTCTAAAAAAGCTAGCTTGGAATGGGGCTATCTCCTTTCTTTGTCATGCCAACTCCGTCGCACGCTTTGCCAGCCTGTAACGCTGCTTGGCCTTCATAACATAGCACTTGGACCGGAACAAAACGGCCTACTACTATGCTAAATCCTAGACGGCCCTCCAGATCTATGCACCTTTTCAACTTGCGCGACCTACACTTTTGTAGCAGTGTGTGGCTGTAGTATGACAGCGTTTGCGCATTCGATGCGATGCCAGCTTGCACCCTGCAGTTAATCACCTAGATTCGCCAAGGTTGAACTGGATCAGTTATTGTTATAGGATTTTACTTGTCAACATAGGTACCCGTGGAAGTATTTTGGTCTGTTTGTATTTATCTTGCGTGAGTTATTTTGCGACAAACACTACCCGATTCATACATGAATTTCCAAATTCCTGCCATAACGTTCTGTTTGCTTCACAACACTTTTTCCGCTCACAATGCTATGTGTTGTGTTATGCGTAATTGCCGGTTCGAAGGCACACGGTTTAACGGATCAGTGAGAGTGCAAAGCCGTGTTTCAACAATGAAATGTTCTAATCAAAGTCTCACAAGTGTCCGTCCCTGATCCCATGCCGAAGTCGGACTGCTGACCATGCGCATCACAAATGGCATGCAACAACCCACAACACTGACAGTTTGGGGGTAAACGCTCTGAAGCCTGCTTTGCATTTTACCGAACGTGGTCTTATTCACATTTCCAACAATTCCTTTTCTCGGAAGAGCAGCCCTTTCTCATGGCACAGCGCTGGTCGCGGGCTTTTGAGACGGCCGCGTCGGTCGTCAGCCTGCGTCCTATCCGTCCCTCCAGTTATCGACGTGCCTGTTGAGAAGGTCTTGCCAGTTCAGCTGCACTTTTAGATACACATTAGACGAACGATAAACGAGAGCCACTTTCGTTGATCGCATCGGGCCGTTTGCCTTATGGGTCTCGCAGTGGTTACAACACATTCTAAGCTTCTTAAGTAATTACAGCGACACACCGGCTTGTAGTTGCAACTACCATGAAATCCAAATGCAAGTGCAATGGAGTGAAATGGGCAAATGCAACAGGAAAATCCGTTATTTTCTGCGCAGCAAAGGTATTTTTGAATTGTCAAAAATAAGCAACATTTCTCAGAACCCTGGGACGCACATTAAGGTCACATAACTCGGGGGAGAAATCAGGCTTTGCGGGCAAGTTAGATCACCCCTGTCGGCTAGGTCCTCCCCCCACTGCACGCTTTTAAAGTGACAACTCTGGTATATCTAATTCGAGTCTGACCATTGGCTGTCTAAGCCTCTAAGGCAGGCATTTCCACATTACAGGGGTCGGAGCAGAGGCATAGTTTCGCAAATCGCAAAATGGTTTGGCAGGGAGGGGGCTGAACAGCGAAAAATAGCGATACCTACCCGCAAAATGCGCCAATAAACAGATTTCTCGGAGGCTCCTGCCCACTTTCCACACACATCCTTAATCCTCTCCTATGGGATAGAAAACTACACCCCTAACTCAGAGCCCTGGCTGAGTCACGTGGTCACTCGAGTCTGGCTTCAGGTCTTGGTGTCCTAGTGACATAGGTATAAAAAACCATCACAATTGAGCATTTAATTGAAAATCGTACGTTGTGTGTTCTTGGGTTTTACCACAAACCACGGTTTTACCACAGTTTTTTGGGAGCGGAACATTAAGGTTAAGCTGTCCGTCTATTTTTGGGAGCTGTCTTTACCATATGTCACATATGGGTGGAAAACCCCATGCGTTTGGATTCTTCTGCGGGCTGTATACTGTCACATATAGATGAAACCCACCATGCATTTGGAGTAGCCCCTCATTGTTTTGAGCGCTAATATGGACCCATGTGCGCTCAGAAGTGATGGATCCAAAGTGTTTGTGGACATTTCATGTTCCTCGACGTATTTCCACGTGTGATAGGCCTCGAAATTCATTCAGGATGTTACCTGGTTTAGAACTATAACTGTCATTTGTCTATGTTTCTGTGATGTTTTTCACTTTGTAATTTTAATAAAGGGATTGCTCTACATCTTTGCACAATACTTTTCAACTGTTATATCCACTTTCAAGATCGTTGATTGCAGATTGGTAAGACCCTTTTCATAACTTTCCGTCCTTTCGTTTCTGAGTTCGGTGCCCGCGAAGTTGAACAGACTGCTGCGCGCTGCCTATTTGGAAGTCACCCATATGTTTTCAGAGACGTCGGAAGAATCCCGCCCCAATGGCCATACTGTGTTCATCGCCACAAAACATGTCAGTTAACTTATTCTTATCTGGAGCACGCAGCACGAATCGCCGCATTAATGGACAGCAGTTGGCTGAAAGGAGTTTTCAATATTTGTTTGATGTTTTGAGCTGACAGTCATTTTGTAGATCATTCGGGGCAGTGCGTAGCCGTGCCCCTTTTAAGACCTAAAAACCTCTAGTTTCTGAGCTGTACGCTCGCGAAGATGCCGCTATTTCGTGCATGCATTTCGCGTTTCTATGGCGTCATGCATAAGTTCGAGCATGCACGATGGCAAAGAAACGCCAGTCAAATCCTATCACCCCATTGGCCACGCGGTGTTCAAGGCCACTAACAATAATCGTTGGGCCGTTGGTATTTGGCGTTCGTGGACACGTTTTCCATATAATATACGTCAACTGCCGCTCAATCAATGTTGAGCATCCTGTGCAAGTTTAAACCAGCAATCATCTTTTTGTGGTACAATACAAAAGTCGGACATGGGTGCTAGTTATTGTGGAAACAACACTTGCAATCAAATAATTTAAAAATGGTGTCATAATCGAGCATTTGAATACAAGCGAACAGCTTTGATTCACGGATAAATATGCAAGAACGCCACGAGAATAGGCCAAAACACGAGCACATACCAATATTTGGCTCAGCAAATACATCCGGCACCGCCACGGCCACCTCTCAGGAGATTGAAGTACTACAAGTGAGTGGCAATCTCGCACGGCTAGTTTGGCAGCACCTCAACGTCACAGAAACGTTCTTGGTGCAATGAAACAA